CAAATTGGGTGGGTGGAACCATCCAATTCGCCTTTAAACTGCCAATTTACTGATTTACAACATGCATCAATTTCATTAACTCAAGCCTACCACGAACATTTATGACAACATATAATGATCATATATGGTTTCAAACGCCATTATATGACCCTGAGATTTATCCCCAAAAATCTCAATGATTTTCGACAACGGGCCCTGAAACATTCGAAATTTCTCAAAAATCGTGGATATTAGCCTTTAATTTTTGAATTTTTGTACTTTTTTTCTCCCGAATATAAAAATTGCCGAAACGTTTACTGTGGTCCCTATTACCCTCCGGGAGTCCAATTGGGTGGGTGAAACCATCCAATTTGCCATTAAGCGGGCAATTTACCGGTTTACAACTTGCATTGATTTCATTAATTCAAACCTACCACGAACATTTATGACGACAAATAATGATCATATATGGTTCCAAAGACATTATATGACCCCGAGAGGTATTCCCTAGAATTTCAAGACTTTTCGACATTGGGCCCTGAATACTCCAAAAATTCTCAAAAAACGTGGATATAGCTTTTAATTTTTGAATTTTTTTGACTATTTTTCGCCCAAAAATAAAATTTGCCGAAATGTTTACCATGGTTTCTAATACCCTATGGGAGTCCAATTGGGTGCGTGGAACCATGCAAATTGAATAAACGGCTAATTTACAAGTTTACAACTAGCGCTGATTTTATTAAATCAAACCTACCACAAACATTTATGACAACATATAATGATAATGTATGGTTCCAAAAGGCATTATATGAACCCGAGATGTATCCCCTAAAATCTAAAGGTTTTTCGACTCCATGCTCTGAAACCTCCATTAATTTTCAAAAAGCGTGGATATTAGGCTTCAATTTGGGATTTTTTTTACTTTTCTTCGCACGAAAATAAAAATTACCGAAATGTTTACCATGGTCCCTAATACACTCCGAGAGTCTAATTGGGTGGGTGGAACCATCCTATTGCCTTTAAACGACCAATTTATCGGTTTACAACTTGCACCGATTTAATTAACTCAAGCCTACTACGAACACTTACGATAACATATGATGATCATATATTCCAAACGACATCCCCGAGATGTGTCCCCTAAAATCTCATGGTTTTTCGACAACGAGCCCCGAAACCTCCAAAATTTTCATAAAAAGCATGGATATTAACATTCAATTTTGGAAATTTTTTACTTTTTTTAACCCGAAAATTAAAATTGCCGAAATGTAACCATGGTTCCGAATACTCTCCGGAAGTCCAATTGGGTGGGTGGAACCATCCAATTTTCCTTTAAACGGCCAATTTACCGTTTACAACTTGCACCGCTTTCATTAACTCAAGCCTACCACGAAAATTTATGACAACAAATAATGACCATAATGGTTCCAAACGGCATTATATGACCCCGAGATATATCCCCTAGAATTTCAATACTTTTCGACACCGGGCTCTGAAACCTCCAAAATTTCTCAAATAGCGTAGATCTTAGCCTCTAATTTTGGTATTTTTTGACTTTTTATCACCCGAAAATAAAAATTGCTGAAATATTTACCACGGTCCCTTATATCCTCCAGGAGCCCAATTGGGTGGGTGGAACCATACAATTTGCCTTTAAACAGCCAATTTACCGGTTTACTACTTGCACTGATTTCATTAACTCAAGCCTACCACGAACATCGATGATAACATATAATGATCATATATGTTTCCAATTGGTATTATATGACCCAAGACGTATTCCCTAAAATCTAAAGACTTTGCGACACCTGGCCGAAACCTCCAAAATTTCTCAAAAAGCGTGGACATTAGCCTTCAATTTTGTAAATTTTTGACTTTTTTCGCCCATAATAAAAATTGCCGAAATGTTTATCATGATTCTTAACACACTCTGAGAGTCCAATTGGGTGGGTGAAACCATCCAATTTGCCTTTAAACGGCCAATTTATCGATTTACAACGGCCAATTTAATTAACTTGCACCGAACCCAACTTGAATCGAAGTTGATCCAAACTCGTTTTAACTCGTCAAAACTTGTATTTAACCCGATTTGTTACTAACCTGACCTGAATTCAACCTGACACGTTCCTAACTTGATCCGAATTTAACCCAACCTATTACAAACCCGACCCGAAATCAACCCGACTTGTTATTGACCTGACCCAAATTAAACTCGACTTTTTATATACCCTACCCAAATTTTACCAGACCTATACCTATTACTAACCTGACCTAAAAATTCAACCAAATATGTTACTAACTCGACTCGAAATTAACAAGTTGTTATTGACCCGACCTAAATTCAACCCAAATTATTCCTGACCCGATTTCAAAGCACCTTAAATGCAATTCAGACCACCTTATTATTGTTGATCAAAGCATTTTGTCTAAGGAGACCAAGTCGGTTCACGCCAGCAAAAGAAAGGAGTATCATCCTCAAATTTAAGAGTTAAATATAGTATATATTTGTTGTAGGGTGAAAGGATATAATTATCTTCCTAAATTATAGACTATAGTTCCCTAGTATATTGCCATATGTATTATAGTCAAAGGAAATAATTAGCTTAATAAAAATGATAATTATCTATTTATAGTTAGTTGAACCCGAATATAACCTGACTTGGAAATGACCCGACTTGATTGTAACCCGCAAATTATGGACTTGAACATAACCCGACTTGAACTCGAAAATGACCCGACTTGGAAATGACCCAACCTGATTATAACCCGCAAATTATTGACTTGAATCGAACCCGACATGAACCCGAGAATGACCCGACCTGATTATAATCCGCAAATTATTGACTTGAACCGAACCCGACTCAAACCTGGGATGACCTTACCTGATTCTAACTTGCAAATTATTGACTTTGAACCGAACCCGACTCGAATCCGAGAATTACCCTAACCAATTTTAACACGTGAAAGCCTTAATTAAACCCGACCTATTGTTCTCCCGACCCGAATGTAACCCGACCTGTTATTAACCCGACCTAAACACGATCCAAACCCGATAAGAAGTATGACCCGACGTGACCTGACTCAAACATGACCCAACCCAAACCCGACCTGTATAAGTTATGGAATTAATCCGAATTGACCCGACCCACTCTTACCCGACCCGTTTACCAGAATTGACAGCTCTACTTTGATTTACATCAAATTCTAGATTTCAAAGCATAAGTTCATCTACTCAAGGTTTTAAGGGAAAAAACCAGACAAGATAGAAATGCACAGCGGTCAAGGCCATATTGTCAATTAGGATACAAAAGTTTGTGAGTAGATTTAAAACTAGATGAAGTACAAAATGCACAGGCCAAAATGAAAAATAAATAAATAAAAAAGTAACGAACCTTACTCAAGTCTATAAATAAAATTTTTAAATCCGGACGTACATTCTTTTCAACCATCTATAATAAATTACCGTAACTAGCCTATTAACTTTTAATGATGTTTCTAGTGTTTTATGCCAAATATAGAGCTAATATGTCGAGAATATTGACTATGCTACGCTGCTGCCAGCTTTAGTTTGAAAGAGTTGGGGGGGGGGGGGAGGATGGTAGATAAATTTAGTGCGTCAAATCCAGCCTTGTGAGGCAGATATTGACACATTCCCACTATGAAACCTACGTACTCAAAACAACCACATGCTAAATTCGCATAACAAATGACCCTTTGTTGCCTCAAGTAGTCAAATGTGACACAGGTCCCAACTTAAACTTCATACATTGTTTTGGAAGTACAATTACATGGCACTCCTAGTGCAATTTTTATGAGTGGGGTATCTTGAGAGCATAGGTGTCATGTCAAGTGTTTGGAAGTACAATAAAATGGCACTCCTAATGCAATTCTTATGAGTGGGACGTCCAGAAAGCAAAGGTGACATGTCAAGTAAAGGGTAGCCCAGGAGAATAGGCTTGTTAAATGGTTGATGAAACAGAAATATGTATAAAAAGGAGGAAGAACGGCAGTAATGGCCAGGCTGAATGACAATGGCAGCATGTTGGAGAAGGAGATAAGAATTTATTGGTGATCTTTTCATGCACAATTCTATGAATGGTATAATGGCCTACGGACAGCGAGGGACAATGTCTATAGAAAAATAATGATAGTGGGTAACTCTGAACAGGGGTTGAAAAATCCTATCATACCAGGATGGAAACTAGATCTATACTTCTTGGTATCCTTAATTAAGTTTTGGAATTGATGTTTGCATTCCATCATATGTAAGTCAAGCAAGTCTGCAAAATGGCAATCATGGCCAGTAAGGTGGTCTTATCTATATGTAATTCTGTTACATAAATTGCCCAAAATAAACGACAGCACTTCCGGTGCACTTTTTATTCTTATGATGTCTAGTCAGTAATGGAAGCAATCATCCTAAGAGACAACAAATGAACAAAATATATAATTTAAGTGCCCCGCGTATATTCATATACAATTGTCCACTTTAGGGATATTGACAAACAAGATTGTCGATAGCCAAAGTCCCACAGGTTTATAATTTATTGTTAAGATTTCTCACAGGTAATGCTATTATTAGATGGCAGGAGGCTTATCTTAAGATTGCAAAACTACTTTCTCACAGCCTCACATATGATGGAATAATGCTATCGTTGAACGGCTAGAGGTTAAATGGAACTGAAATGATCAATGAACAATTGAAACCACCTCTATGGGCTTATGGCACTTTTTACTAGGCAGTACTTTAGATATTATTCCGATATTTGTTTAATTGTAAATGCCTAAATATAAGAGATCCACACTTCTAAGTCTCCTCAGATCACAAACATCCTAAATAGTCACACACTAAATGATAGCAATGCTTACAGAGTAACAGCAACCCAACACTTTCTTTGTTGTTAAAACAAGTTACTGAGTATTTCATAGGATGGTCTAGGCCATAACAGTATCTGATACCATAGAAGAGGTCAGCAGACATATGAAGATCACAACTCAAAAAAAATATAATAGAAGAATACCTTCAATACTTGCAATGCCGTCAAAGCTTGCGATTGAGTTTGATCAGCAACTGCAGGAACCAAAACCTTTCCAGGAGGCGCCATAAGTGCAGCAGAAAGTAATGATGGTGCAGGGATTCCACGAGAGGCAGAGACGCTTCTCAAAGATTGTGAATCAAAGATAGATGGTTTCTTCACCTCGTTGTCTTCCTTGCTTGTAACTGATGCAATTACTGGCTTATCACCACCAGGAACACTGTCAGTTCCTAGCGTTGCATTAGCAGTGGCTGAATGATCTACATTTTGAATATCGATAGGCACAACTACACTAGTCGATGGTTCAACTGCAGCATTGGAAGCATCGGCCTGGATTGCTGTGAAGGTTTCTTGCTGCTCATATGTGTTAAGGAGCACAGCACCAGCTTGAGCATCATTTAACCTAGCATCAAGGCGATCTTCTGTTTCACTCACCACAATGGTGTTCTGCCTATCTATGGAAGTAGATGTCATGTAGGAGCCATCTACACTTTCTAATTGAGAAATTTCGGCTGAGTTTGGAACCATATCAGGACTGTTTACATCAGATAATGTGGAACCAGTTTGTAAATTATCTTCAGCAGAAGCATCAAGGTCATTCAATGTGGGATTTTCACTAACAAATAATGACTCTACATTGGTATCATCAACAAGTTCCCCTTGATCAACAAATTCAGTAGGTCCGTTACTTTCACCCTGCACATTAAATTTATCATCATTTACATTCTCTTTGTCCCCGTAAACCTCCTCTTCAGAAGACAACAATACTTCTTGCTGTTCCACCAACGGCTTCATCTCTTGCACTGACCCTGAAAAAACAAGTACAGCGGTATAATGACCTAGGTTTTTTTTTTTTTTTAAAATGTAATTTCAAACCAACATATAAACTCAAAAAGAATATGTAGTGGGGCATCATTGGAAATTTTGGAACACTGATGGAGCAATATAAGGGTTTTGTTACTCAATAGCTAGTTTTAATAGATACATAACTTAAACACTACTATAACAAAGGACAGTGGTACTCACTTGAGCTGCTCCTCTTGCCCATTGATATTGCAGCAGAGGTGATTCCAGCAAAAAGTAAAACACCAGCAAGCCCTACTCCCAGAATTCCTGAAATTCAGCTACTTCAAGATCATTACAGTGACTTGAAAAAAGAATCAATAAAACAAGATAGAGCAGCCAATAACTGAAAAGGAAATGACAATTCCTATAATGAGATGCAGCTTCAGACATTTCTTTAGTGAATCAACATCCTTATTTTAATGGTCAAAATCCCAGTTAGAAACTCACAAATTGTTTCCAAAATGAAAAGGTTCCACTAACTTAACAAAACATTCCCTTTGAATCCCCAAACTGCTTTAAATCGATCCTTTTTCAAAGATAAGTAAACGAAGTTCTCTGAAGCCACTATATTAACACTGATCCTAAACCCTTCTCTCCTTCTTATAGAAATATAGAATTAACTCAATTGCCAACAGTTCAAAATATATATATATATATATATATATATATATATATATTTTTTTATATATATATATATATATATATTGTGGATGCATTTGACATTTGTTACAAGTTCTTATCAAGCAAAAGAATAAATTATCACATTTCTAAACAAAACAGCATAATTGATAATCGTGTAAACCTACCATTTCCTCCAAAATTCCTACATATGTAGCTACACATTCTCAATTAGAACCAAAACTAACAGACTATAACAATTAAGCTATACTAAGTTCTGAAACACATATCATGCACAATCACAGATTAAATTAAGTACAATTATTATAATTCAATGTTTTCAACATTTTACTAAACACCAATTCTTACTAAGTATAATTCAATCAACCAAATTTACAACACCCAAATAACCTTTATAATCCAATTAAACCCAAAGAGCTTAAGAACAATTAATATTTAAAAAGAACCAATAAAACTCACAATAACAAAAAAAAACCCTTAAACCCAATAAACCCCATAATCTAAAAGTAGAAAGAACAAAAATTTCACCTCCAATTCCATTTTTTTGGCCAGAATCATCAGGGTCAGAATTTCCAAACCAATCAGACAAAGCAGCATCAACAGAAGAAGCATTCAAATTAATCCAAGAATCCCCAGAACGACGCCGTTCTGATTCACCACTACCACTCTTAGCTTCATCTTGTGCAACACAATGAACTCGAAGATTATGGCGGCGGAAATTACCAGGGTTCGAACCCCGAGCTTTGATTAACAACAATGGCGTCTGAGATTTCCTGAACTTGAAATTGAATTGAAGCTGATAACACCATGTTGTTCTTGGTGATGGTGTTGTTAGTAAACTCATTTCAGAAATCCCAGAAAATTAAACCCAGAAAATAAAATAAAAAAGAAAATTACCCAGAAAATGAAAAGGGGAAATTTGTGTGAATTTGTTGAGGGATTGTTTGGTGGAAGACTTTATTTTGGCACTTGAAAAAGAAGAAGATGTTCGAAAGTGATACAAGAAGTATAGTGATATTCTGAAATTTGAGGGGTTGTTGTTAGAAAGTTGAGTACTGAAGAGAGGACGAAAATGGTGATGTGATCATCCAACAATGTTATCTACTTCTACTTTCTATATTTATCTAAGGTGAATTGTTTTTTTTTTTTAATCTTATGGAAGATAATAATAAGACTACATTTGAAAATAAAAACTAACATACATCAAAATTCAAAATGGTTATTTTGCATAGGTGAAGATTATGTAGCAAAAAAATCAATTAATCGTATTAGCATACGAAGTAAAATTCTTACATATACATATATATACACCTAACTCTAGGTATACCTGGATGTATGATAGAGGTTCTCGAAATTTTTTCTACTTAGGTGACTCAAGTAAGAATGGTACCAAATTAACTATTTGATTATCTGGTTTTTCTTTAAGATGACCAATATGACTTATTAACTAATCACATTATTTTTTTAGAAAATTTATGATAAGGAGAAGAAAATTCTAATAGATATCACTTCTCATGGTTTTACAATTATTAGTGATCAACAAAATCTTGTGTAAGACTGTCAAAATCATTTCAATGTATATTTTTTAAACATCAACTTTTACAATTTTTACATGTGTTGATAATTAAATTTTTTTAATAATTAAATACCATTGTCAAATATGTTTAAGAGTGAAACAAGTAAATGAACTACCTGTACTTTATAGTGAAACAAGTAAATAAAGTGATTTATAGCGAAACAAAAGAAATATATGACACCATACCATGTGTAACTTTGACATGGATTACAAACTTTTTAGATTTTACCTATTAAAAATATATACTTAATCACCTAATCTAAAATTATATTGAGTAAAGCTAAAAGGTTCCTGTATACTTGTAGAAACTATACAAACTTAACTAAGATTTACTTGAAACCTTGATCAATCAACTCAATTTCAATAACCTAAATAATTTCAACACCTTTTTAAAGTAATATACTTTTAGTAGTCTATATAGATGCCAAAATTGACCAACAAATTCGTTAAGCTAGCTGTAATTACATGTCAAACACACCTTAGACTCTTAGAGCAAGGAATCTGAAATTTAACAGCTTGCTCTGTAATGCTCTGATACAAAATGATATTAGTTATTTTACACAGTAAAAGAAATTTGTTCCGCCAAAGGTAAGGAAATAAAAATAACTAGTAGAAGTTCCGACTAAGTGTACATTGGTAAACTTAGAGCAAATAGAATTGAGAATAAAGAAAATCCCTAATCTTATAGTATTCCTCTGATAGAGGGCCTTCGATGACAATTTGCTGACTCCCGGCTACACCACCCTACATCATAGATTAAATGAAAAGAATCAGCTCACATGGTTTAATTATACACCCAGATGATACTAAAGCCATATTTGATTGGAAAATGAGAACTAACCTTTTGGGTAGGGTCTCCAACTTTACGCAAGGTGACAAACTCTCCACACCGCAAGGCTCCCCCAGAAAATTCTGCCTGAAAATTGAGTAGACTCTTGTAAGACTTACATGTCAATCAACATCCACGAAGTTAGTCATGAGAGATCATTACCTGGATGCCTTTACTAGTTAAAAACTGTTTGAAATCTGCCATTTTAATGTCACCAACCAGAACTGATTTGTGAGTTGGAGCTTGATTTGACAGAGGGAGCAATGAAAGCGTCCCACCATCAGTTTGGCCAACTTCAGAATCAATCCAAGCAATTTCATAATCTCCAAGCTGCCAGATTTGGTTTAGGCACATAACAAGAGCAAAAGGACATATAGATGAATTAGAAAAATCAATGTTGATGCTTGTATTAGTAGTATACTTTTCCATTAAACTTTAGTTGACAATTTGTTTTTAGGTTGCCAAGAATGCCAACACATAATTTCAAACATCAATATGTTCGACAATCAATAAGAAGAAAATACAAAAGTTTATTAATGGAAAATATACATGGAGGCAAATCTCACCCCAGGCAATAACGATGTCAATATTCAACCATGAAGTTGAAACTCCCATGGACGAGATCAACCATTGAGCTCCTACTTAATTCACATACTGGCATATATGCTACTTTCTAAATATAGTAATGTAAACTTCCAACTTGCTACTTGCCCATTTTAGATATTACCCCTAATGATACCTAGTAAAATCTTCAAGAAGATCATGTTGTACATGAGATGGGGATGTACAACTCTGATGGAAATCAAAACTTATGATATTCCAGCTCTATTCTTAAACAATGACAACAAATAATGGCCTACTATTCAGAAACAGAGGCAATAATAGATATTTGCTATAGCTAGACAACTTGATTGGGTCTGACACTACTTCAAGACACCAAGCCTACATTCTGAACATACCAAAATAGAGAGGATAGATAATTGAGTTATGCATCATATCTTGAGATTTGGTGAAAAGATTATTAGTGGTCAAAGTAAAGTAAAAGCAGTTCATGCCCATCTCACAGTTTAACATCAATCACGTGATACTTCAATGACTTACTTTCTTGAACAGAACATTGCTCATCAACTTTTCCGAGAGTTGCACCTGCAGAGAGACCGGATGCTCAGATAAAAATGCAAACCTATAACATAAAAATCTTTACAAAACTACGTCCTGCAGTCTATACCTTGTAAGCGCAAAGATCAGAAGTGACATCAATTGTTTCTTCAATTTGAGGTGCATAAACATGTGGACAAACATTCTTAGAGCAATGTTGCTTCAAGTGCTCGGTAGCCTCAGCTGATCCATGCACCAAAACCTGAAAGAAAAGAAAAAAAAAAGGGTTTATTTCAATTTCCAAAACAGAGGAATCTGGAGGAGGGAGGGGGGAGGAGGAACAAGTAATGCAAGCTATGTGCCATCATTCTAACATACACATCACATATGTATAGTTTGAGACATAATTAGAATGGAGATTTATAAGAAAAGGTAATAAAAATCATTCTTACAAGCTTTAAAGGAGCCACATGAGCAAGAATTGACTTAATTGATCGGCCATCAGAGCGGCCCTCAAAATCCATGTAGACCAATGAACACTTTACTTGCACCTGAAACATTACAAATAATATCAACATTAACTACAATTCTCACAGCACAGAGATCAGTGAAATATACACAGCCATTCACAAAGTACAAGTAACTTCTGCTATGGTTACGTTTGCATGCAATGTCCACTTTCCTCTCCGTTCTGACTCAGGTTGAGGGTCAAGAGTAGGCCAATAAATTTGCCTCTATATGGCCCCAAACTTCTTCAAAGAAAGCCAAAACATATACCAGTAACTATAGCAACAAAATGTCCCAATTATGGAAACATAGGCCAAAAGGTGAAATGCACAAGCACAACTGAAACAAACATAAGAGTTTGCACTGATATCAAATTAGATACATAATTAATTCAACCTTGAATACTTTGTTCAAAAGTGATTGGGTAAAAAGTATCCTGAATATAAGTACCTTATCAAGGTCTTACAACAATTATTATAAAGCTAACAAGATTAAAAATTATGTACCAGTAGGCGGAAAAGAAAATGTACAAAAGTTAGGTGTTGTCCACATTGAATGAATATACAAAAAACATTAGAGAGTAAGGGAGGAAAAATAAAAGAAACTTACGGTCAATTCAGTGGATACAACTTTGGAAGGAGTAGTATCAAGCATTAGGCCAGCGGAGCCTTCGTCAAGTTTTCCATTGAGATCTCCACCACCCTGCACAAAATACAAGCAGTGTGGCCAATTTATTATCAACTTAATATGATAAGATTCTTGCAGCTCACAGAAAGATAACAAGGTAATTGGTCATCAGCTATGAATTTCTATAAGAACAACGATGCCACAAACAAATTTAGAACAAATCAGCAACCATTTGATACAACAAATAGATCCAATTACAGTACTTTGATTAGAAATCTCAACCTGTAAGAAATCCATATTATCTTCCTTGATCATATAATCATCAGGGTTGATGACTTCACCAAAATCATCCCATGGAGCAGAATTTTCAAAGAAGGGAAACATTGGGGCTACACTAGTTGAAGGTGAAACAAATCCATCGATCAAAATGTCCTTATGCCCACCAACAGATGTTCCACCTGAGAAAAGGTACAAGATAGAATCAAACCAACATTTAGCAATTGCATATTGTGAACCCCCCCCCCCCCCTCTCTCTCCCCCCAACAATTAGGCTGAGAAACATACAATGTGCATATTTTGTCACGGCAAATGTACTAATGAACATAGTAAATCTCAAAAGGAGGAGTGAGGGACAAAAGGCTTCATTTTTCAAGGAAAGGAAAAAATGAAAATGGCTTTAGGTATAGAATTATGTCCTTTCATATCTTTAAATATGCCGTAGTGCTATTACCTTCAATTCTTCAAACAACGTCAAAATTAAAAATAGAAACACAATCTTAAGGAAACAAGTATTAAAATAATATATTAATGCAGCGAGCATGTCAACAACACATGTGAGTCCAACAGATGACTGCAAGCGTAAGTGCATAACAGATAAAACATGCATAACCTTCCCTAAGAGCATGAATCAATAAGTTCGCCAAAATAGTTGATTGAAAAGGCCTGGCAATTTCAATGACATAGTCAGTGACCTCATTGAAATAAAGTGCCTTAGTAGAAGTTCCACAACATCACAGAACATGTTCACAGATTCACCATCAAAATTTCCTTATTGTATCCTCTCTGAGGAAATTGATAGTGTATCAGATGTCATCACAAAAAAATTGACATACCTTCTGATGGGGCATATATCTCACGAGAATCAGTCACCATTGGATCACCCAAATTAGGATCAGATCCATGTGATATTTTCACTTCTTCCTCTTTGATTTGACTGGCTTTTAAAGCTTCTTCCTTTTTCCGGTTTTGCTCTTCTTCATATGCTGCTAACTCCTCTCCTACCAAAGGCACTCTATTCGATAATGTGACTTTAACAGCTTTTGGAGGGGGGTCTGCCTGCAGCATTCGAGCTAATGTGCCGAACTGCATACAAAAAAAAAATATATCAGCATGCAGGGGCAGTCATCAGATAGATATTGTTACTCCATATGTCTGAAACTATTCCGAATGCCAAACAAAAACAAGTCACAAATCAATATTTTTATTTATATCTAAATTCTTGATCTAGAACATTAAAGGGAATCAAATATTTTAGGGGCCGTTTGGTAG